GTTCCCTCCCCTCCCTCCTTTCTCCCTCCCTCTCCTGTTCCCCCTTCCCTCCCCCTCTCCCCCCCCCCCCCCCTAAGCCCGCCCACCCACCCACCCCTAACTCTCTCCCTCCTTCGCTCCGCTCATTCGCTTCCTCGCAGGCGCACGCGACCGGCTCCAAGATGAGCAGCAAGGAGATGACGAAGCTGCAGAAGAAGAGCGAGGATCTGACCGAGAAGGCCGTCCACACCATGCTCGAGTCCCGCCGGCTCTCCCACAAGGGCACCGACGACCTCCGGGCCGCCAGGGCAGTGGAGTCGCGACTCCCCGCCCTGCAAGTGAAGGCGCAGCAAGCGAAGCTCGTGCTCAACGTGCTCAAGTCGCAGGAGCAGCAGGCGATCGCGCGGCTGAAGAACTTCCCTGCCTACAACGCGGCGATGAGGCTGAGCAAGAAGCTCACGGGGGAGGCAGCCAAGGACAAGCGCCTGGCAAAGGAGCTGCTGGCGGAGAAGTCGAGCGAGAAGAAGACAGGGAGTGGAGAGAAGGAGAAGGCAGCGCGAGACATTCGAGCTGACAAGTAAGAGGAAGAGGAGGGGACAAGAATGTGGTGATGAAGGAGGAGGGAGGAGGGGAGGGAGAAAGACGAGGAGAGGGAGGACGAGGACGAGGACGAAGACCAAGGGGGCGGTGGGGGGGGAAAGAGAGGAGGAGGAGAGAGCAGCTGCTGGTGATGGTGTGAGAGTGACGAAGGAGCAGGCAGGCCTTCAAAGAGCTCAACATCCTCCGCCACAAGATTGACAAGGAGAAGGCGAGTGGTCAAACGCGTTTGACCTCCTGCTGACCTCTTGGACCAGGATGACATCGAGAAGGATGACACCATGATCAGCGACATGTCGACCTGACCACCCTTGGCACAGTCGTAACACGCACCTCCTCCGCCCCCGGGGCCTCAACCTTATTCTTTGACATCCTTTTTGACGACTCTTCTTCACTACAATAGAAATTTTAAAGTTCTTTTTCCCAACTGTGCTGGGCCCCAGCCCAGGGATCGAGAGGCTCCTGCCCTCAGTCTTGCTGGGGACGTCACCGCACCTTGTCATCTCAGTGTGCCGAGCTGGACTTCGGCTGGAAGTAACACCTGCACACTTTGTCAGACTCCCTCGCCATCCCCAGCTGCAGCCGAGCTACTCGATCATCTTGTCGACGGTCCCCATGAACAGCCACTTCTGCGAGGGGTGGAAAAGCAGACAGCTGGCAAGAGGGTGTCAACGGCTTTCAACCAGACCGTCAACTAGTCGTCACCTGAAGTCGTAGCCGAGGTCGTGCTGGATGACTGCAGTGAGCTGGGTAGTGTCGAGGTTCCAGACGAAGACCTGCTGCCTCTGGTGAAGGATACAACCGTCAGGAGGCGGCAGCTGTCAAGTCAGCTCAGGCCCACCACGGCTCGGATGGCGTATCTGCCGTTGGAGCAGATGGAGCCCGAGAAGTTGCTGAGAGGAGCGTAGCTGTCGTACATGTTCTCTCCCAGCCTGTACAGGCGGAGGAACTGGGAGGGAGCGAATGAGAGGAAGAAAGAGGAGAGAGGAGGGAGTGAGAGGAGGGAGGGAAGGAGAGGAGGGAGGGAAGGAGAGTAGGGTGCGAGTGAGAGGAAGGAAGGAAGGGAGAAGAGGGAAGGGCACGCTGTCGGAGCCTCACCTGAACGGTGACAGAGTCGTAGAGCTCCTGGTCGTTGTTGCCTTTGCTCTTGTTCCAATGGATCGCATGCAACTTGGCAGCAGCTCCGCATCCCTCACGATCCTCTCACGCAAGCGCAGACAGATGGCAGGCATACCTGGATGTCTTCTCCGCATGACAAGAAGAAGCTAACCTCCACAAGTCCTGGCTCAGGCAAAGGCTGGCATAGAAAGTGAGAGGCAGGAGCAGGAGCAGCACGAGGCAGGAGCAGGAGCAGGAGCAGGAGCAGAAAGAGGGGGAGGGGAAGGAGGAGCAGGAGAGAGGAAAGAGGAGAGAGGGTACACCAGAACGTTCTTGGGGATGGCAACGACATCAGAGCACGTCTGGTTGTACTCTTCGAGGCTACTCTGTGAGACAGAATCAACCAAATCGAGGAGAACAAGACCAGGCACTACCCCAATCTCCTCCATCGACCCGGCATTATACATGCGAAACCCTCTGCCTGAAGCAACCACCAGCACGGCATCGAGAGGGGATTCTTTCGCCATGTCCATGCTGGGGGGGTAAACAATCGTGATCGAGCGGTACGACTCAACCTCGACCTGCTTGTCATGCTTCAATTCACCCTGGGCAACAACATGATCATCGACTGATATTGACCGCACTTCTCGCCTTCACCTGATACGCGTTCACCACGAACTGCGAGAGGACACAAGTGCTCGTCTTCTTCGCATCCGCTGGGTTCCCGTGCTCTCCGCCACACTCCTCCGGCTCCCCCTCCTTGTATCTGTGACTGCCTAGCGCAAACACAAGCCCCTTCTCTCCGTTGCTGTAAGTCCATCCTGTCTTGATAGTGACGATCGGAGGATGCTCCAAAAGGTTCAGATGCTGGAGGACTGTCCCCGTTGTGACCTCATACACCCGGAGAAATCCAAAGTTGTCCTTGGTGGCCGGGTCGCTGGTGAACCTTCGCATCTGCCCCATCGTCCCTCCCACCACGCAACGGCTTCCGTTGTGGATCATGCTTACAGCCAGGAACTCGCACTTGGCGCTCTCCTCGTCCTGCGTCCTGCCGTTGACGTGCAGCACGTAGTCGAACGTCGGCTCCCCCTTCACGTCCAGCCCGGCCGAGTCGGTGAATTTGAACTTCCAGATCCCTAGGAAGGCAGGGAGGTTGACGGCCACCAGGGTGTCGCCGGTCGGGGAGATGGCGAGCCCAGTCACCCTCTGCGCTCCCTTCTCGGGCGTCATGGGCGATGGGTCGCGGGTCAGGACGCTGCCTCGGTTGATGAACTGAACTCCGTTCCACTCGGCCTTGTACTGCTCGCTGGGGATCCAGTGCTCGGGGTTCAGCTTTAGGGTCACAGGGGCCTCCGGTCGAGACCTCTCGGCTTCTCGGCTGGATGGAACCTTGTGCGAGTCATGCGGCTGCTCCTGACCCTGAGAGTCTGCCGCGTCCCCTCCGTGACCGTTCACCTCGATGGCTTGCCCCAGCTTCTTCTCGGTTAGGAAGGAGATCTTGTTGCTCCTAACCACCAGATGTCTGCAGCAGAAGTGATCGTACTCCCGACCGTCGTACAGGATTCCTCCGTTCACTTTGGCCGTCCAAGCCTCTCGTGGCAATAAGTTCTTGGCAAACAGGATGACAGCCTGGGAAAAGGGAAAGGGAGGACAGCTTCAAAGGAGGTTCACCAGATAGGTTGAGGGTTCACCTTGCCCATCACGCTCTCGATAGGATTGGTGTCTGCCCAATCAGAAAGCAGCAATTCTGAGTCAATCATGTTGGTAGGAGCCCTCTTGACCTATTCCAGGCCGAAACAAATCAGTCGGATTGAATCGAGCCAGCATGCAACCACCTCGTTGTGTCTGTAGAACCAAAAGCCTTTGAACATCATATCTCCCGAAGGCTCTTCCCACATGTCATCGATGCGAACAACATACAGGTCATGGTCTTGCTCTGGCTTGAGAAAAGCACAGTCTAGCTTCTGAAACAGAACTCCTTGCTTGCTGAAAGCGCGGAAATGCTACGGAGCTCAAAGTAAGGTGAAGAGCGTTCTCAACATTTCGCAGCACCTTGTTTCCATCAGAGTCAACAAATGTTGGATCCCCCACCCATTTCTGTTTCGATTGCCGGTCCCCTTGCGGCTGAGCATTCGGGAACAGCAAGAGTCACACTTTGACAGGGAAACCTGACAGCTACACCTGCTTGCTCGAGGATTTCTCAGGGCCATGCGACCTGGGCGGCGAAGACGACGACTTGCGTTTCACTCCTATGTTCTTCTGCATCTCTCCTGCCTGGACGCCTTTCCGTTCGCTCTCCTCGCTCTTGAAGTTTCGATCCGACCCACGATCCTGCAGGTATTGCCTCAATGATTCTGAACATCGCGCGGATTGGAGCTCAGCCTCCCGATCAAGAGCATGAGAGAAGGAAGATGGAAGGATCGACTTGAGGGCTGAAACAAGCAGCTGGCATCAGACTCACCAAGGAAGATGTCTCGTTCGAGGTGGCAGAGGATGTAGGTGGGCCGATGTATAGGTAACTTCCCTGATCCGGGCAACGATCAGTGCATCATCTCGCAGCTCCAGGGGGCATGTGCTTTACGTTCTCAAATCTGAACAACTTGTCAAACTTCTCCCGGTCTGCTTGGGATCCTTCGGAGAGATGCTGCTGCAGCTCCACTAGTGCCTGCAACAACGTCAAGACTGCTCCGCCTTGCCGTACGCATCACCTGATCTATCTTATCCAGCTTCCCCCGGAGAATCTGACGGCACAGATAAGGTTGCTGATCGAACTGGAACAAGGGAAGCGGGCTCTACCAGGTTCAAATTCTCAAAGAAAGGGACTGCGCACGTTGAAGGGACCCATGCATACTTTCTCGTCCCGAAGAAGTAAACGAATGTCTTGCTCCCGTCCTACAGCAAGCAGCGAACACGAGCCTTCAGCGGCAGGCAGGGTAGTCAGGCCGATCTCACCTTCCTTTCTTCGAACCCCTGATTCGCAGGATTTGCAACCTGGTCCAATCCATCACCAACCTCGCCAGCTATACTGTCCTCGCCTTACTTTAGCTGGCCACCAAGGAAAACCTTTCACCTTTGCTATCAGTAGGTGGGATTCGCTCATTCTAGAACAAGAGGGATCAGGGCAAACTCATCAAGGAAGAACGAAAACCTGTACAGCAATGAATGTCACCGAGAAATGAATCTTGAAGCATTTCTACAAGCATCAATCACTGGTCCCCTTAGTTCATCGCCATTGACGTGAGGGAGACCCTGCGTCAAGACGTCAGATCACAGGCATCGGTAGAGCTGGTGATGCGCCATGATTGAGCATGGGGAGACAGTCCCAGACAGCATGAAGGGATTCCAACTACATCAGGATCACTGTTACATGGAACTTGTCATGACCGATCCGACAAAGACAGGCCGACATGAAATGCTTCAGGGAAACACGTTCGAGGGAGCAAGATCACGAGGCCATGCATGTCCATGAGCCTCTTGGTGCCCCACATCAAGCTCACTCTCAAAACTCGCATGCAGCCTCCTCGATCTGACCCCACCCCTCCTTGTCCTCGGTCAAAGCCAGATATACCCGTCTTCTGCCTAGCTCCATCCGTCCATCCATCCATCATTCCGTCCGTCCGTCCGTCAATCTCGAATCCCGCCTATCTCTCCTCCCTCGATCCAAGCTCCCTGTTACCTTCTCCCACGCTTTCCTGCCTCCTGCACTCCTCGTCTTCATCTATCTGCTCTTGTCTTTGCTCTCCGGTGATCTTTCCATCATCTTGACTTCACACCTCTCAATCTCATCCTCCCTTCTCCAACGCTCTTCCTCCGCTCCTTCTCCCGCTCCTTCTCTCGCTCGCTTTTTCGCTACTCAGCATCACTTTTGCTAAGGCGCCGCCCTCTCGCCCCACCCTACCTCACAGGTACCCCTGCCCCCATGGCACCCTACAGATTCAATTTCAACTACCCCCCTTTTCGATATCCCTTCACCCCTGTCATTTAAGAAAGTACCCACCCTTGCAAAGTACCCCACCCAGTACTGGAGAGGAACTCAACCTTTTCAATCACCCTACCTTTACAAGTCACACACATCCCCACCCCAACAACTAATTGGTGGGAAAACACCACCCCTACTTTCATCAGGCTTTCACCCCGACATTTTGAGGGTATCTGGTGCCACCCCACCCCCCTATCGAATGACCGACCCTTTCAAGAACCTGACCCCAACAGTCTTAAGAACCACCACCGGTGCTGTCACGGATTACCCCACCCTGCAGTCACAAATTTTCAATAGCAATACTACCCCTTGGACCCTGTCACAACACACCAGTATGACCCACCACCCCATCCAGGGACTTGTTGCTATCTGGTGTGCATGGCGTCTGCGCGCGACCGCAACTGCGAAAGGTCCGGGCCGAAAAACTTCGGCCGGGGTCCGGCACCGGGACTCTCAGTTCACTTTGCCAAGGACTTTCCATTTTGAGGGTGGGGTGGTCTATGCAGGGGTATAATTCATGAAGTATGGTAAATTTAGGGGTACTAGAAGGTCTTACTTAGGGGTACTTGAAGGAATGGACAGCTAACTGGTGTCAGGGTGGGTTATAGGACGGGGTATGAGGATGATGGGGTTCGGGGGGTTCGACGAGGCGTAGCTGCGAGAAAATGCAGAAGGCGAGGAATGGAATTGAACAAGAATGAGAGGGAGGGGGAAGGGAGAGAGACAGCTGGTATCACGGAGAGGAAGAGAGAGATAATGGACAGAGGAGTGTGTCGATGACAGCCCGGAAGATGATGTAAGGCAAGGCGATGCAAGAAGATAGTGTTTGTGGGGATGATAATCTGCAAATAGACGGAAGGGAGAGGACAGGTGGAGAGGAGGTAGAGGCCGAAGGTCAAAAGATGGACAAGGATGCAAAAACCAGCCGTAAGTTATGATAGGAGTCAAGATGAGATTACGAGCAGATTGCATGCGAGGGAAGGGCGTCACAGAAACTGCGGCGACCATCTTGTGTCAGGTTAGTTTGAATTGGGCCAAAAGGAGAAAAACTAAAGAGAGTAGAGTGCTCGTGCAGGCAGGCAGGCAGGCAGGCAGGCAGGCAGGCAGGCAGGCAGGCAGGCAAGAAAAGTATTGGACAATTGATCATGTCCACGTGTAAGAATGTACAAGTCGGTAGGGTTGGCAAGCCTACGACTTGTCTTTGTATGTTCAGATCAGAGAGAGGCAAAGATGATGTGGTTTGAGGTTGTTCTATATTTGAAGCTTGCTCTCCTGCGCCTCTACAGGAGAAAGGGAGGACTCTCAACCCTGAAAGTTAACTGCCCGGCCGCCCCTTCCCCTGCTGGGGTCGTCAGACTTTTCAGAGAATGAAGGGTTCACTGCTGGGCGGGCTGGAAGCTGAAGTTGATCGAGAGAAGCAGTGAGCTCTTGCGGTACGACATGTCGAACTTCACGACGCCGGGCGACGAGGCCCCCAACATCCCATGTCCGTGATCGCCATGCGTGCGTGGCCCTCTGGCCCTGACCTAGCTGGTAGGTTGTGGTGCGGAGTTCTGGATGTACGTGGGGATATGCGCCTTCTTGGTGCTCTTCGCCGCCATCATGTCAGGGCTGACGATCTCGCTGATGAGCCTCGATCCGATGAACCTGTCCATCATCATGGAGAGCGGAACTTCTAGTGAGAAGCGATACGCCGCTGCCATCGCTCCGCTCATTGAGAACAGGTGCGAGTTGGGGAGGAGTGTATGAGCAGAGGCAGGAGGGATGATACTCTCGAAGGCACCTCCTTCTGGTTACCCTCCTCCTTGGCAACGCAGTGGCAGCAGAGGCTCTCCCGATCTACATGGACATGATCTGTGACACTCACCTTGCCATCATCCTCTCTGTGACGCTGGTGTTGGGCTGCTCGGAGATCATTCCTCAGGTCGACTTCGTGCCAAGGGAGGGGACGAAGTGAAGTGATGAGGGATGCAGGCGCTGTTCACCAAGTACAAACTGATGCTGGGCGCCAAGTTTGCGGGCCTCGTCCAAACCCTCATGATCCTCTTCTGCTTTCTTTCATGGCCCATCGGCAAGGTGAAGGCTCATCGGGCGTGACGTTGATCGAGGTCTGAACGAGTTTTCTGCAGCTGCTGGACCATGTTCTTGGAGACGATCATGCCATGATCTACAGGAGAGCAGAACTGAAGGTCAGAACCGTCCTTCCTTCTCCTCCTCCTCCTGCTCACTGCCTTGCGCTGACGCTGCCGGCGATGCCCTGACAGGAGCTCACGGCTCAGCACTTGATGGATGAGGACGGGCACGGGACTTTGACTAAGGTGATGCTGTCTTGGCCCCGCTGCCCCCTCCCTGCTCCCTGTGATCTTGGTTGCGAGCAGGACGAAGTGCGCATTCTTAACGGGACGTTAGACATGGCGGGCAAGCAGGCGAAGGACGCGATGAGGCCGTTGAAAGACGTGTACATGATCGAAGCCTCTTCACCTCTCGATCGAACCACCCTTCGCAACATCATGGCGACTGGCTTTAGCCGTATCCCCGTGTACCACAACGACGTCCAGAACGTGATCGGAATGCTGCTGGTGAAGGATCTGCTGCTGGTGAATCCCGACGACGCCGTCTCTGTCGCCTGGTCGGAGCGGGGACTAGTGAGAGGCATCCGAAGGGTTCCAGAGTCGCTCCCGCTCTTCGACCTCCTCCATCTTTTCAGGAAGGGAACCTCCAGGTTGGCCCTCGTGTGTCGTGAGAAGCAGGAGGGGAAGGGATCAGACGATGGCTGCATCACGGGGATTGTAACGCTAGAGGACGTGATAGAGGAGCTGATACAAGAAGAGATCTTGGATGAGACTGACCAAGGTGTCGATGTGGTTGCCATGCTCGCACATCAGTTCGCGCAGAAGCAGCTCAGGGAGCAGACGAGGACGGGGAGGTCAAAAACTGAGAAGCAGATCCGAGCATCGAGGAACGATCGAATCCGCAGGGAGATGTCAGACAGTGGAATAGGAAGCGATGTCTGGAAGCCAATAGCCCTCGCCTCCCTCATGAAGACTCGGTACGTCACATGCTCTGCCATGCCGTAGGCACTTCCCTTTCATCGCTTCCATTTCTCTTTCCAACATGCATGTTGCTTCCCTACCGCCTTCTCTACTTCCCCATCTTCACCTTTGCCTCCCTGCCTGAAACTCCTCCACATCTGCCTTTCTGTCTTTTGGCTCCACATGACATGCAGAACCTTACACAGGCATGGCGACCATTCGCATTTGCGACCCATCGACCATGCTTCCAGCGCATCTCCTGTGGTAGGAGCTCGTTACCTTCCTCACGAGATGTCGAAACCACCGCACAGAAGGCAAGACGACTTGTGAAAACCTTCAGCCGTACGGCAGTGTTAGGAGAAGAGGAGATCAGGAGGCAAGCAGGCAGACTAACGCTTCGTTACTTCATCTTGTCAAACTTATTATCTGTCATCAAGCTTGCCTTCGCCCATCCCCCCCTCCCGTCACCTCGAGCTCAACCTCTCCTCCACTCTTAAAATCCTTTCAACGAGGTCCGCCGTCTTGTTCTTGGTCGCGCTTGCCAACGTCCTGAGGCCAGTGTCCTCCCCCTTGGCACTCCCGTTGACCAGGCCCGCAGGTTGAGCAGGAGCATGCACCAGCCCCTGCTGCGGGTTCTTCTCAAGGTTTTGCACGATCAGCTCCAACCTCCTGATCCTAGTGGCGAGCTCGGAGTCTTCCGCCAGTGGGGGGGCGGCCGTGAACAGGAGGGGGTAGAAGGACCTCTGGCTGGAGTCCAGGGCGCGACTGGAGGAGAAGCTTGAGTTCTTCTCGTCAGCCCGCTGCTGCAAGCTCTCGATGGTGCTCTCGAGCAACGCCATCCTGTCATGGCTCTTCTTCAGCGTGTTCCACATCTCTAGCTCCACCTCCTCCTGCCTCCTGGATGTGCCGCGTGCTGCGCTGGCAGTCGACGAGTGTAGGGAGCTCGATGCTGGTGACTTTCCTGCTGCCGAGTCCTCCTTCCCTTGTGCTCCCTTGCTGCGCTCCTCTGCCGGCCTCCCTGGGAGGCGGTGAGCCCTTGCCGCGATGAGGCGAAGCAGCTTGCCTTCGTTGGACATGGCGCTCAGCTCGGCTGAGAGCTTCTCGTTCTGATCCAGGAGATCGAGGCACTCCTTCACCTGCTCGTTCTCTTGCTCCTGCGCTGGGACCTCATCCGTGCCTTCCACGCCAAAGAAAAGTTTCTCCTTGAGTAGTGCACGTAGGCACTGCCGGCTGACCTTCTCAGACTGCCTCCAGAAGTCTGCCTCCTCCTTCATCTTCATGACATCTACCCGGAGCTCTTCTTCCTTGCTTGGCGGCTTGTCCTTGTCTTCCGTATCCCCGTGCATTCTTCTTTCCTATCGTCCTCAGTTGTAGGGCTTCTGGACCACTTGCAATGAATGCAAGGCTGCACAGGATCAGAATTCTTCACAACTCAACTAATTGCTCCCTCCCAGGCTTGAAACCTCACAAGAGGATGCTTCTCCCACAAGTTGTCCTCTCTAAACTAGTCCCGGGCCCGCTTCCACGTCTGCTGCTGCCCGGCCTTTGCCAAGTGGACCCACTTGGTCGACGGTCCGTCGGCTGTTGACCCCGTCAGTTCATGGGGACGAGCACAGTCCGACGGTCACTGCTTCTTGTTGCTCTCCCTCCATGGCCATGAACGTCACCAGCTCAGCCTCGCTCGTCGCACGCTCAAGATTCTCCTCGTCCTCCCCGTCAGTCTCCCTCGCTTCGCGTGCCTCGGGTGACACCAATAGGTCAAAACTTGACACGGAATTTCAGTTAACCCTCGGAGTCCCGACTCAGCAACTTGAAAGTCCGGTCACTTCACGCGGCCGAGTCGGAGCGGGCCGCGACTCCCCTGACTGTCAGTTAAGTTTGGGGGACACTGCAGTCGGCAGGATTGGGTTTCAAGTTTGGTTCTCGCTGTCTTTTCTCTTCTCGCCGTTTGGCCTGTGCGACAGTGTCAGGGTCAAGCCTCCTCGTCTCTCCTGATTGTCCTCGTACTGATCTTTAACTTAACTTTGAGAAAAGAAGGACTGTGAGACTGGCAGCCGGGCCCGCCGGCTTGCAAGTTGGGAGCCACCGACTGAGTCGGACCGGCGGGGCGGGGCCCGGTGGCCGGGCCCGGCCGTCCGTCAGGGTGGAAGTGGGCAAAAACGACATCCTCGACTCTCATTATTGTCCTCGCACACCCTCAGACTACTATGATCGCCCGGCCAACCGCGGCCGCGCCGCGCGGTGCAACACTGAGTCGGACGGTCATGGCACGGTCAATGTTGCTTGCTGACCGTACGGTAGAAGAATCTTCTGCCGTAACGCGTCAACCGCTGTGGCAGTACGGTGAAGCCTATCTGACCGCTGATAGGATCACTCGGACTCACTGTACGGTACGGTAGAGGGCAGGCCGGGCCAATACGGTACGGTACTAATGCTAGGCATCATTGTTAGTATGCGCATAGGTACTGGAATGGTAGAGTGCGTGTTCTCTTCACCGTTGGTGCGCTCAGGCTTGCACTTCGTTCTCGAACATCAGGTAGTTTTGAACTTCATTACATTACAAACAAGAATCTACACCAACTGGCAAGAACCAGCACTACACGCAACCGGATCGCAAGCATCCATTCTCTACTCCAAGTAGAACCGGCCTGACAGCTCGTCTTCATATGCCTCGTCATATGCCAAGGTGTCCTCGCTGATCTCCTCTCCGTGCAGGTCGCTTTGCTGCATTTCACCGCCGCCTGTCTTACGATGGAACATGGGGAATTTGATGTTGGTAAAATTCCCATCAGGGCCGATAGACTTGTGGAGTGAGGCCCGGGCGTTCTTTCCGAGCCTCTCGTATGCTCCACCAGCAGTAAGATTTCCTTGCTGGTCGATGGAGCGGAACTGAGGTCCCTTGCATACCACGCCGAGGAGCCATGCTGGGCATGCCTGATTGGTGAGCGTGATTATGGGCCCGTTATCTCCCTCCGTGACTGCCATGCTGGCACAGCTAGTGGAAAACGCTCCTCTCATCCAGCTCTTGCGGCGCTGTCTCTGCTGCTCAAGGCAGAACGAGCGGGAAGCCGGTTGGGAGCAAGGAAGAGTACACTGACGGTGCATGTTGTTCTCGCTAGGGGTGAGGAGGTTGGCGGTCATACCAAGAAGGAAACAATCAATCAACAAGAAGGAGGACGAGGACGAGGACGAGGACGAGGAGGAGGACGAGGACGAGGAGGAGGAGGAGGACGAGGAGGAGTGGGTAGGTTTGTGTGCAGGCAGGGGAGATGAAGGTGAGGGGAGGAAGGAAGAGATCTCAGTTTTTAAGTAGGCGAGAGACGAGGGATTAAACGACGAAGCTGGGTTTAGTGTCAGCAGGTCACGCGGGGCAGGAGTTAAGCGGTACAAGGGGTGTTCCAGTCCGCCTCAGACAATACCATCTATCTAGAAGGAAGACAGTAATGGAGTTTTACGTACGTCTCGAAAGGATCATTACAGAACAGATCTGCTGCCCCCTGAGTACTCCTAATCCATTACCACCCCTACCTACATCGACGAACCAGAACGTTCCATAGCCACCCCACCTCTGAAAGGGATCTTGACTATCATCCCCTGCTCTCCCATGAAATACCCACCTACTTGACCCATGGTGTACCACCCCCAAGGACTCTACCCCCAATCAGATCCATCTACCCCTACCTCCCCTTGGTACCTGCCTTGCGCTAAAAACCCTCCCAACTCGTGGTGAGATAAGACCGATACAGATCCTTGTGATCCTCTACCCCCCCTTTTCCCACTCGAAAGGACCCCCTTCTTAACAGTCACAAGGGCCTCAAAAGGCTGGTTGGTTTTCCTCCTCTCCAACAATTTTCGACGGTCACGGGCGGCTCTCCTTCTATCCGGGGTGGCCTCGACCCCCCCACCTCTACAGCTGAGATCTTATAATACAAGTACTAGTGCAAATGCCTTAGCCTGGTCTCTCCTGTGCCATGGCTCAGCCCAACCTGCAAAAGCGACGCTGGAACCTTTTAATGCCTGACTCCCGAGGCTCGGAGGCACGTTTTGAGATCATGGTTCGAGGGACCCGGAGCCTGAGTCCGGTACAGGCGCCATACCACCGGGTACGCAAGGGGGTCGGCCTTGTGACCGAAGCCTCCGATCACGATGTCCGAGCCCCGGGTCTCTGGGTCTGTTATAACCGTCCAATCATGGCAGCGGCGGCAGAGTCGGAGATATCGAGCGACACTCTTAAGACCACTGAATAGTCACGCGGCTGCAGCTCTGAGTTAAGCGCCCCCCGGCGGGGGCCACTCGGAAGCCCAATCCGTTACCCCATCCTCTGTGGAGTCCGTGCCCCGCCGCCCGGCGGCCGCTCTAACTTCGCACTTCTGACCAGTCAACTTGAACTCGAACTGGCACCGGGCAGACCCGTCAGCCGCGGTCCGAGCCACGGTACGATGATCCGCCGCCGTCCGGCCGCCGGGGGAGGCTCCGATCAGAGTCAGCAAGCGAGTCGCAGATGCCTCAGACTTCGTGCATAGTCTGGATGCCTCAGACTTCGTGCATAGTCACGTGGCAAGTCAGAAGCTGTCCAGCCCTGAGTCGGCAGGCTCGTGGCACGGCTGAGTCAGCTACTGAGTCCGAGCCACTGCGGAGTCACGCGTAGCTGCTGCAACAGCAGCAGCCTCAGGCACTGGGGGCCGGGGCCCGGCGCCACTGGAGGTGTAAAGTGTGATCGGATGCAATGATCGTACTACCGTACGGCGTTGCTGCAGTGATCAGATCATCATGGCGATTCCGAGCCTGACTTAGCCCGTGCGAAAGCCACAGGCCTGCGGCGCTGGTGCGGCCCCGGGCCCGGCCTGGCCCCCGCCGGCGGCGGCCTGGCCCCCGCCGGCCGCACCCCGGGCCGTCCGTCTGATTGATTTACCGTACACGGTAGTACCGTACTATCGGATGTTCATAGAATCAGTACGTATCAGTCACTCCGACCATCGGAGTCTACCGTCATGATGGAGTCACAGAGAGTGAGTTCCCGGACGGTTGCAAGTCACGGTGAAGAGTCCAAGTTTAAGCTCATGATCTCGACTCAGTTCATACCACCATGAGTTGCCTCACACTGAGTGGCAGATAAAGTCACGTAGTACAGGGGATGTGAGGGTGTCCCAAGTCAGCCTGTGTGCTTTCCTTAGGGGAGGGCGCAGTTGAGGTAGTGGGTCACGGTCCCAGGCCAATCCGAGAAGACCCCATAGACTCCCACCTCCTGCAGGGCACTCAGTCGGGGACGGGAGAGGTAGACAGCTAGGATGCACAAACCTTGAAGAGTACATCGAGAAGCAAGTAGATGTCCGCATCCTTCCTCACCGCACTCTGTACGTTCCCGTGCGTTGCCGTGCTGGCGTTCCCCTGTTGGACACCGAGGTACCACCCACTAGGAACAGCTCCCGACCTCTCCATCTCGCTTCATTGGGCTCAGGCACTTGTCCCATGTCAGTTTACTGCTCAGGCTCCTTAGCCTCCATAGTCGTCCCTGGTAGCTTTCTGACTGCAGCTCTGCTGCCGAGACTGAGGACTCGTCCAGAAGCCTGTCTGCAAGGTACCAGGCACGAGCTCCAACGTCTGCCCGGTGGTAGTTGAACACGTAGGCACGAAGCTTCCAGCCCAACAGGAAAGCAAGGGTGACTGACGAGGAGAAGAAAAGGAAGAGTGTGCAGAATGAGAGAGAGGTCCTCCTCGCGTCTCTCTTCTCCGGCATCGCTCGTTCCACGTCAACATCCTTCAAACCTACCTCAACGCGTCAACCGCCGTGGCAGTACGGTGAAGCCTATCTGACCGATGTTAGGATCATTCGGACTCACGGTAGAGGGAAGGCCACTACGGTAATGCTGCGCATCATTATTAGTATGTGCACAGGAACTTCAATGGTGGAGTGCATGTGTTCTCTTCACCGTTGGTGCGCTTGCACTGCGTTCTCGAATATCGGGTAGTTTTGAACTTCATTACATTACAAACAAGAATCTACACCAACTCGGCAAGAACAAGCACGAGTACACGCAACCGGATCGCAAGCATCCTTTCTCTACTCCAAGTAGAACCGGCCTGACAGCTCGTCTTCATATGCCTCGTCGTATGTCAAGGTGTCCTCGCTGATCTCCTCTCCGTGCAGGTCGCTTTGCTGCATTTCACCGCCGCCTGTCTTACGATGGAACATGGGGAATTTGATGTTGGTAAAGTTCCCATCAGGGCCGATAGACTTGTGGAGTGAGGCCCGGGCGTTCTTTCCGAGCCTCTCGTATGCTCCACCAGCAGTAAGATTTCCTTGCTGGTCGATGGAGCGGAACTGAGGTCCCTTGCATACCACGCCGAGGAGCCATGCTGGGCATGCCTGATTGGTGAGCGTGATTATGGGCCCGTTATCTCCCTCCGTGACTGCCATGCTGGCACAGCTAGTGGAAAACGCTCCTCTCATCCAGCTCTTGCGGCGCTGTCTCTGCTGCTCAAGGCAGAACGAGCGGGAAGCCGGTTGGGAGCAAGGAAGAGTACACTGACGGTGCATGTTGTTCTCGCTAGGGGTGAGGAGGTTGGCGGTCATGCCAAGAAGGAAACAATCAATCAACGAGATGGAGGACCAGGACGAGGACCAGGACGAGGACGAGGACGAGGACGAGGACGAGGAGGAGGAGGGTGTGGAGTGGGTAGGTTTGAGTGCAGGCAGGGGAGATAAAGGTGAGGGGAGGGAGACGAGGTCTCAGTTAAAGCAGGCGCAGGCAGGAGTTAAGCGGTACAAGGGGGTCTCCAGTCCGCCTCAGAGACAAATCACCACCCCTACCTACACCGACGAACCAGAACGTTCCATAGCCACCCCACCTCTAAAAGGGATCTAACAATCATCCCCTGCTGTCCCATGAAATACCCACCTCTTTGACCCATGGTGTACCACCCCCCAGGACTCTACCCCTAATCAGATCCATCTACCCCTACCCCCTCCCCTTCTACCTGCCTTGCGCTAAAAACCCTCTCAACTCGTGGTGAGATAAGACCGATACAGATCCTTGTGACCCTCTACCCCCCCTTTTCCCACTCGAAGGACCCCCTTCTTAACAGTCACAAGGGCCTCAAAAGGCTGGTCGGTTTTCCTCCTCTCCAGGTCACGGGCGGCTCTCCTTCTGCCTTAGCTCCCCCCGCCTCTACAGCTAAGATCTTATAATACTGGCAAGTACTAGTGCGAAAGCCTTAGCCCGGTCCCTCCTGTACCATGGCCCTGACCTAACCTTTTTATGTCTGAGTCTCGTTTTGAGATCATGACCGGTACGTTGAAGGGGATCGGACTCTCGTCAGGGATTGAAAGGGAAGCCTTTCAAGTTCCGCAAGATCTCCGAGTCACAGGGGTGCCTTGTGACCAAGTTGACATGATGACTCACCGTAGCTGCCTTGTGACCAAGTTGACATGATGACTCACCAGGGTGACGTGACAGTACTGAGGGTTGACAGGTCACGATGGAGCCGGGCGGCCCCGGTCACCGTGGCAGAGTCTTGGCCCGGTGACTAACAGAGTAAGAGATCCGGACTCGGAGCGACCGTCCGAGGGCCTCAGGTCTCTTAAGACCACTGAATCTGTGGCTCTGAGGACTCTGTGACTAGTCGGTCACGCGGCAGCAGGTCAAGCGGCCCCCCAAGGCGAACAGCCTGGGAGTCAACCGTGGCAACTTGAGCTCGAACAGACGGTCAGCCGGGCCGAGGTCCGAGCCACCCGGGGTACGGTCTCTTCAAGGCTGGATGATCCTCAGAGAGTCAGACTTCGTGCATAGTCACGTGGCAAGTCAGAAGCTGTCCAGCCCCCGGCAGGCTCGTGGCACGGCTGCGTCACTGGGTCACGCGTAGCCGCCGCCGCCGCCGCCCGGCCGGGCGCCGCCCGGCAGCACTGAGCAGCAGCAGCCTCCGAGGCCGCAACTCAGTGGAGGTGTTAAGTCACAGTGTAATCCGATGGCAACGTGGCGGCCTGGGCCGCCCCGGCAACGGTCCGATCACCGCGGTACATTGCCGAGTGATTAGCCTTCACAATGATCAGCGGATCCGAGAGCCGACTACCGTAGTACGCTTGCCAGTTGAAAGCCTCGGGGCCGGCGGCGCTCAGTGTGCCGCGCAGTGCGCCCGGGCGCGGGCCCGGACTGGGCGGCCTCACCGTCTGCCAAGTTTACCGCCGGTAGGACCATATGATCAAAGTATCAGTACGTATCAGTCACCGTGGCACTCCGACCGTCTGAGTTGCTAATACCGTCATGATGGAGTCACAGCGAGTGAGTTCCCAGACGGTTGCAAGTCACGGTGAAGAGTCCAAGTTTAAGCTCATGATCTCGACTCAGTTCATACCACCATGAGCTTCTCACACTGAGTGGCAGGTAAAGTACAGGGGATGTGAGGGTGTCCCAAGTCAGCCTGTGTGCTTTCCTTAGGGGAGGGCGCAGTTGAGGTAGTGGGTCACGGTCCCAGGCCAATCCGAGAAGACCCCATAGACTCCCACCTCCTGCAGAGCACTCAGTCGGGGACGGGAGAGGTAGACAGCTAGGATGCACAAACCTTGAAGAGTACATCGAGAAGCAAGTAGATGTCCGCATCCTTCCTCACCGCACTCTGAACGTTCCCGTGCGTTCCCGTGCTGGCGTTCCCCTGATGGACACCGAGGTACCACCCACTAGGAACGGCTCCCGACCTCTCCAGCGTCCACACGATGATCTCTATCCCTTGCTCCTTGAGGTACCTGCTCTTGGTCAGTACGGCGATCGCAAACACCCGCAGCAGGCGTACCTGACCGGCTCTGTGGGAGAGAAAGAGCCCCCAAGCGCGTCATTGGCCGATATGACCTCGTTGAGCGGAAGTCCGGCGAACTTGATGGGCTGACCCAGGCGCTGCAGCTCTTCAAACCATCCCTTGTACGTCGTCTCCCAGGTGTCTTTCCCGTTCTGCTCCTAACATGTAAGATGGAGCGAGATCGAGGAACTACCGAGAGTTCCACCTGCCCCCCGGGACTATACAACAGAACCGTGTTCTTTGCTATGGGATACTTGGACAGCCACCTACAGCAGATGAGCTGGAGGACGCTTGCTCAGAGTCAGCAGAGAACCTTGTCGCATGCTGCTTGCTGAAAGTCTGAGGGAACAGCAAAGCAGGTGGGACCCCCAGGTCAAGGTAGTCTTGGATGAAACGATCCGCCGCCTCATCTTGGGAGTCTGAAGAGTCTCTCACAACGGAAAGACGGCAGATGGCAGCTTTCACGTATGCCTATCTTGGAGTAGTCGTGCTCCTTCAGCTCCGGGATCATCTTAACCTTCATCTCCCTTCCCCTTGCCTGTCAGACTGCAACAACCAAGACACAAGACAAGACAGGTTCACATGGAGAGTTGGATGTATTCCTTCTGCGTCATCACAGTGGCACATCCTCCGTCCTGAGCGGCGATCACGAGGACAAGGTCGATTGGTGCCACACGCAGACCTGATAGAGAGTCGTCCGCCAGGAAGGGACGGACAGGTACTCGTCCACCGTACGGGCGCCGACGTTTGTCATCATCTAATTGGCGTCACAGAGCAGGCAGGAGCAGGCAGGAGCAGGCAGGGTCACCTCCATGGTCCCGCACAGCTGCTTGTACTCCGATGCAAGCAGATCGGTGGTGCAGCACCGCGCTCCCTCTCCGGGTTGGAACTGTCTCCCACCTTCAACAGCCGTCGGGGGGTTTGGAATGCCTCACCTTCTTGTCGCACTTGTCCGCGAGCGCCGGCACCCTCAGGATGTTGGTCGTATAGTGGAGGTCACAGGCCGAATGGCGACAGACAGCAACTCTGTCCCTTGTGAACACGGCATCGCACTCCAGCATCCCTGCTCGCACCGTCAACGACTGCCCCACGCCCCATGCCCAATCTCACCAGCACCCATCCTTACAGCGCTGGTGTATCCTTCAAGCGTGTGCTCTGGGAACATGAGAGGCGCGCCACGATGAGCGATCGAGCGCTCATCTCGCTTCATTGGGCTCAGGCACTTGTCCCATGTCAGTTTACTGCTCAGGCTCCTTAGCCTCCATAGTCGTCCCTGGTAGCTTTCTGACTGCAGCTCTGCTGCCGAGACTGAGGACTCGTCCAGAAGCCTGTCTGCAAGGTACCAGGCACGAGCTCCAACGTCTGCCCGGTGGTAGTTGAACACGTAGGCGCGAAGCTTCCAGAAAAGGAAGAGTGTGCAGAATGAGAGAGAGGTCCTCCTCGCGTCTCTCTTCTCCGGCATCGCTCGTTCCACGTCAACATCCTTCCAACCTACCTCAACGCGTCAACCGCTGTGGCAGCACGGTGAAGCCTATCTGACCGTTGATAGGATCACTCGGACTCACGGTAGAGGGCAGGCCACTACGGTAATGCTAGGCGTCATTGTTAGTATGCGCATAGGTACTGGAATGGTAGACTGCGTGTTCTCTTCACCGTTGGTGCGCTTGCACTGCGTTCTCGAACATCAGGTAGTTTTGAACTTCATTACATTACAAACAAGAATCTACACCAACTTGGCAAGAACAAGCACTACACGCAACCGGATCGCAAGCATCCATTCTCTACTCTAAGTAGAACCGGCCTGACAGCTCGTCTTCATATGCCTCGTCGTATGCCAAGGTGTCCTCGCTGATCTCCTCTCCGTGCAGGTCGCTTTGCTGCATTTCACCGCCGCCTGTCTTACGATGGAACATGGGGAATTTGATGTTGGTAAAGTTCCCATCAGGGCCGATAGACTTGTGGAGTGAGGCCCGGGCGTTCTTTCCGAGCCTCTCGTATGCTCCACCAGCAGTAAGATTTCCTTGCTGGTCGATGGAGCGGAACTGAGGTCCCTTGCATACCACGCCGAGGAGCCATGCTGGGCATGTGATAGGAGTTACCTAAGCGGTTACGTATACTTCAGTTAACTAGCTTACTTTATCCTATCGGTTGGACAATAAAAAGCTATCCTAACTTTCCACACGTTCAGAGAGCGCGGTTGTGTTGAGGTTCTTGTTTGCTTGTTAAACCAGTTAACAAGGTGGTTCAAGTTCACAGAGTCAAAGAGCATCATCAGGATTGTCAATCCCTAACATTGGTAGCGTAAGGTTTGGTTTTTGTTTGAAGAAATTGCGGATTGCGACAATTTGATTTGATTTGATCGAAAAGGAACTTGAACGGTAACCTCTGGATATGCAATCGGATGTAGAAAGGATAAGAAGGTCTCCTGGAGATGGTCCTCTTGGAAGTTCAGGCTTGGCAGTCATGCTTGACAACTTTAGAAGGAGTTTCGATGAGGAAACGTCTGAAGACAAGACGATGAGGGAAGTTACGACGGTACCTTCTACCTCAGAAGAGGACCCGAACGGAAATCAGCGAGACGTCGCGGGATTTTCGAGGATTAATATACCTTCTTATGATGGATCGGTCACGCAACCAGTGCGCGACGGGGATGACGCAGTAGACTTTGAAATTTCAAGGATCGCGTCTCCGGCAGGTTCGACCCTGAGGTTCGAATCACAGCAGTTTGAAGAATTGATCACTGCAAACAAGAAATTGCGAGAAGAACTGCAACTCGCAATGGACATGAAAGGAAAGTATGAAGCTTCCGTTAAGGAAGAGAGGTCTCGTGAAGCAAGGGAGCTCTCAGAGACAAAGGAAGCATTTTCCGCCTTCAAGGAAGAAAGTAGAAAAATGTTCGAGGAAATGAGGCAAATGTTCAGATCAAGTGAACCAGATGCAATTCAACGCCTTCCGGTCAAGGCAGCAGGAGGGGCCGATACAGCATGCATGCAAAACGGTGATTCGAGCATGTCGACGACGTTACATGTTGATGTGTCAAATCGTTTTGTCAAGCCAACTCCCTTAGTGAAGTTTCATTCCACGGATATTTCTCGATTTAATGGAGAAATGACTCTAGAGTATTCCGTTGCCAGTTGGTTTGGAGAACTTGAGTTTCAATTTCAACGACAAAGGGTTCCTAGTGACCAACAGGTAGATATTGCCACCACATTGGTAGGAAACAGAGTGCGGAATTGGATGTTGACCTTAAGAGGGGACGACAAAGAAGCGGTTGAGCATGGTCCATGGAAGGAATTTAAGAAAATCATGGTCGCAGAATATCTTCCGTACTCCCAGGTTCAGAGTATCTTGAATCAGATTTCGTACACGAGGCAAGGAAGCAAAGAGAAGATCAACAACTTCGTTGACCGATTCTCTTCGTTGGCAAATCATTACATTGCCTGTTGCATGACGGCGGAGAACGAGGCGGAATATGTAAGCACCGCGTGTACCAAATTTGGGTTAGAACGACACTTCGTGCAGAACTTATCGAATGAGGTAACCGCGAGTTTTGCGAGGAAGTTGTTACTCTCGCTTGAAAAAGAAAATGCTGGATCGTCAATCAACGTCGGTAGTTTCCTGCCTGAGCTTTATCGAGAAGCGAAAGCTTTGAGCGTGGTACGATCATTCACCTCGTCTTCACAAGAACGAAGCCATGTCGGACATAAGACAGTGAATGCGATTAATGGTAAAGACGCAAAACCGGGACAAAAAGGTCCTGAGGAGAAGAAATCTGATAGGGGACCGAAGTGTTTTCTTTGTGGTAAGTACGGGCATTTCAAAAAGGTCTGTCCGTTGGCTACCGAAAGCAAGAAGTCAAACCCCTGAGGTCGTCTCTCGCGGAGGGGACGGGCGACCGAGATCCTTCAGAATCAACTATATTTGATTCAGAAGTACCTCCAGAAATAGAAAAAAGAGAAGTGGTGGTGTGCAAGATGACAAGTACAGTTCAAACGTACGAGTTGCCGTGCGTACCGATTGAGATTGATGTAATGGGGAGGACGTTTACTTTAATTGCGCTGTTGGACAGTGGGGCAGAAGCGAATTTCATCTCAGCGGAATGTATGAGACGCGTTGGTTTGCAGAGCCAGCAGGCAAAGGATCATGTTCTTTCCGTCAGCATGGCAGATGGGACCATCAAATATTCCACAGAGATACTCGGCACAAAATTTCGGATTGGTAGTACATTTCGCAGCAAAACAACGCTTCACGTTCTGGATATCAAACATGCAGACGTGATTTTAAGCTACGATTGGATGCACAGGAACAAGATTCATCTTGACACGGAGACTTTTCGCGTTTACGCACGATACAATGACAGTGTGGTAAATTTGCCTACATGCTTGCGAAAGAAAGGAAGTCATGACGAAAGCGTGACGAATTTGTGTCAAATGGTGACTTCAAAAGAAGTGGAGCATGATATTCGGCAGGGGGGAGAATGGTATCAGGTCGTGATACAATCTGCAGTGCAGGATTCCTCTTCGCCTGATGATTTGATCCAGCAGAGGGTCGAAAATATTATGCAACAATTTCAGGACGTCTTGGTGGACGAGATACCTATTGGGGTGGAATTAAACCGCAAGTTTAAAGCTCAGATAGCCTTGAAGGAAGGGGCAAAACCGGTACAAAAGAAACCATATCCCTTGCCGTTGTCTCTTGAAGAGCCTCTGAAGGAGACGATCACGTACCTGCTCGAACGTGGTATCATTCAACCGAGCAGTTCCGAGTTCGCGTCTCCGATCATCTTCACAAGGAAGAGCGATGGCAGCCTGAGATTTTGTACTGATTTACGCTTTGTGAATGACCTAGTGCGGCATGACAATTTCCCACTTCCGTTAATTTCAGAGCTAGCAGAGAAGATCGGTCGTACTATTCAACGAGAACGACAAAAGTATTCGAATGTGAAGAATGCGCGATTATTTATCAGCAACGCGGATTTGGCTCGTTCTTTTTGGCAGCTTGAAGTGAACCCTGATCATCGACATATTACATGTTTCATAACAAAGTTGGGCAAGTTCGAGTTTACGAGACTTCCATTCGGCTTGATACATTCAGGCAATCAGTTTCAAAAGTTCTTAGAGAGTGTGTTGACTGGAATAGATAATTGTTTCTGCTACGTGGACGACGTCGTGATAGTTTCATATGGTACATTGGAGCAACATGAACAATTGATTCGTCGCTTGCTCACGCGCTTCAGAGAGGAGAAATTGTTCGTGAAAAAGAAGAAATGTAATTTCTTTGCACAAGAGATCGATTTCTTGGGTTTCAGAATCAATGAACAAGGCATCACTGTACAAATTGACAAGGTGGACGCGATGTTAGCTCGTCCAGCGCCCACTACTGTGAAAGAGTTGAAATCGTTTCTAGGAGTAACGAATTTTTATAGGAAGTTTGTACCAGGATATACGAGCGTTGTCCTACCTTTGCTGGATTTGCTACGCAAGAATGCAAGGTTTGAATGGTTGACGGTACATCAGACAGCTTTTGAACAACTTAAAAAGTGTTTGAGCTCCGCACCTGTGTTGGCGTACTTCGATTCGTCGAAAGAGACACATTTGTTCGTGGACGCTTCTCAAACTTGTATTGGCGCAGCGTTGACGCAAAAGCATGCAGATGATTATCTTCCTGTCGCGTATTTTAGCAAACGATTGTCTTCAGCTCAACTGAATTACAGTACACGTGAGAAGGAATGTCTTGGATTAATCAGTGCCTTGCTGTATTTCCAGTATTACACCTATGGGCACAAAGTGACTGTTCATACGGATCACAACAGCTTGCAATATTTGTTGTCGCAGAAGAATTTGCAAGGTCGTCTCTTTCGATGGGTTCAAATCTTGGCAGATTTCCAGTTGGCGGAGGTGAAATACATACCAGGCGAAGACAACAAAATTGCTGATTTCATGTCTCGACCTAACGAGAACAGTGAAGTTCAGAATCATGAGGAGCTCGAGAAAGAATTTGAAGAGCGTGCGGACCTTCTCAATCTCGATCCATCAGTGTTGTGTGTTTGTACAACAAGCACAGAGATGGTCAGGAATGAAGCAACAATGGACATTGGTTTCAACAAGAACGCAATGTTGGACCTTGTTCGTGAAGGATACGAGAAGTCAACGTACTTCAAGTCAATTCTCGAAGGGATACGACAGAATCGTCGAACTCACATGGAGAGCAAATCGTTCTATTTGAAAGATGGCGTGTTGATTTTTCATGATACTTTAGGAAGAGAACGAGTTTGCATACCAGAAGACGCTAGAGGAAAATTCCTTGAACTGGTACATGATCACTCATGTCATGGGGGCAAATCAAAGACTATCTTGAGAGCAACAAGACTCGCATTTTGGCCAAGGATGAACGCAGACATTCTCGCATACGTCAATTCTTGTGAGGAATGCTTGCAAGCCAAGAGTTTCAAACAACGTTCTGTTGCAGTTCCCCATAGTCATGCGATTCCAAAGGAGCGTTTTGAGAAGATCAGCGTTGATCTTTTGTCAGGATTGCCGGTGTCCAAGAAGGGCAATGACTCCGTCTTGGTGTTTCTTGATCATTTTTCAGGAAGAGTCTTCTTGTACCCGTGTAAGAAGTCTATCACGTCGAAACAAGCAGCGCGTGGGTTTTTCGAGACTGTGTACAGAAACCAGGGGATTTGCAAGCAAATCTTGTCTGACAATGGAAGCATTTTCAATTCAACATTTTGGGACGAAGTTTTCAGCTTAATGGGAATTGATATTCGACATTCCAGTGTGTACTATCCCCAATCGAATGGCAGAGTTGAAAAATTCAACAGCGTGATTGTGGACGCGTTACGAATCTTCTGCATGAAGTATCCTCACAAGACATGGGATGTTTATCTGACTCATTTAGAGACTGTTTGGAATTCTACAGTACGCAATGCTTCAGGCTTAACTCCATTCGAGATCATTTATGGTCGTGAGATTAGGACTGTGGTTGATTTTTCTGTCATGGATTTGTGCGAGGACGTTGATTCTATTCGTGAAAATATCATGACGGCACTTGACGTTGCTCGAGATTCGATGACTATTGCAGCGATTGATACAGAAAGAAGGTTGTCAAAACAGCGAAGATCTTACGAATACAAGGTTGGAGACAAGGTGATGTTGTCTACGAAGGACTTGAAGTTGCCAGAGACAGTACCCAAGATGATGTTGCGTTTTGTGGGTCCCTTCACAATTGTGGAGAAGGTTTCTGACAGCACAGTCAAGTTGGAGTTGACATCCAGGTTTCAGCGTTTGAAGAACACCGTGTTCAACGTTTCGAAGCTTCGACCGTATCATATTCGTGATGAGTGTTTCAACACAAAGGTTGCACCGCCTGATCCCATCGTGCGTTCGGATGGTGAGTTTTACGAAGTGGATCGAATCTTGGCTCGTCGTGGGAAAGGTCGTCGTGTGCAGTACTTGATCAGATGGAAGGGTTATGATAATCCTGCGTCTGATTCTTGGTTGTCGTTTCGTGAATTGACGACGCCGTTTCTTCGTCAATTGATTCGTGAGTTTAATTTGACTAATACTAATTCCTGACGCAGCGAAGTTCATCGAGATGTTTCTCAGATGATGGTGCGCTTGGGAGCGTAATGATAGGAGTTACCTAAGCGGTTACGTATACTTCAGTTAACTAGCTTACTTTATCCTATCGGTTGGACAATAAAAAGCTATCCTAACTTTCCACACGTTCAGAGAGCGCGGTTGTGTTGAGGTTCTTGTTTGCTTGTTAAACCAGTTAACAAGGTGGTTCAAGTTCACAGAGTCAAAGAGCATCATCAGGATTGTCAATCCCTAACAGCATGCCTGATTGGTGAGCGTGATTATGGGCCCGTTATCTCCCTCCGTGACTGCCATGCTGGCACAGCTAGTGGAAAACGCTCCTCTCATCCAGCTCTTGCGGCGCTGTCTCTGCTGCTCAAGGCAGAACGAGCGGGAAGCCGGTTGGGAGCAAGGAAGAGTACACTGACGGTGCATGTTGTTCTCGCTAGGGGTGAGGAGGTTGGCGGTCATACCAAGAAGGAAACAATCAATCAACAAGAAGGAGGACGAGGAGGAGGACGAGGAGGAGGACGAGGAGGAGGAGGAGGAGGGTGTGGAGTGGGTAGGTTTGTGTGCAGGCAGGGGAGATAAAGGTGAGGGGAGGGAGACGAGGTCTCAGTTAAAGCAGGCGCAGGCAGGAGTTAAGCGGTATAAGGGGGTCTCCAGTCCGCCTCAGAGACAAATCACCACCCCTACCTACACCGACGAACCAGAACGTTCCATAGCCACCCAGATAGCCACCCCACCTCTGAAAGGGATCGAACTATCATCCCCTGCTGTCGCATGAAATACCCACCTCTTTGACCCATGGTGTACCACCCCCCAGGACTCTACCCCCAATCAGATCCATCTACCCCTACCCCCTCCCCTTCTACCTGCCTTGCGCTAAAAACCCTCCCATACTCGTGGTGAGATAAGACCGATACAGATCCTTGTGATCCTCTACCCCCCCTTTTCCCACTCGAAAGGACCCCCTTCTTAACAGTCACAAGGGCCTCAAAAGGCTGGTCGGTTTTCCTCCTCTCCAGGTCACGGGCGGCTCTCCTTCTGCCTTAGCTCCCCCCGCCTCTACAGCTAAGATCTTATAATACAAGTACTAGTGCGAAAGCCTTAGCCCGGTCCCTCCTGTACCATGGCCCTGACCTAACCTTTTTATGTCTGAGTCTCGTTTTGAGATCATGACCGGTACGTTGAAGGGGATCGGACTCTCGTCTCAGGGATTGAAAGGGAAGCCTTTCAAGTTCCGCAAGATCTCCGAGTCACAGGGGTGCCTTGTGACCAAGTTGACATGATGACTCACCGTGGCACCAGGGTGACCGTACCCGTTACGGTACTGAGGGTGGGTTGGCAGGTCACGATGGAGCCCCGGTCAGAGTCTCAGCCGTGACTAACCGTTGAACCGGAGTGAGAGATCCGGAGCGACCGTCCGAGGGCCTCAGGTCTTAGTAAGACCACTGACTCTGTGACTAGTCACGCGGCTGCAGGTCAAGCCACCGGCCTCGAACAGACGGTCAGACCGAGGGCCCAGCGAGTCACTGAGTCGCAGACTCTTCTGGATGAACTTACTATCCGATCACCTCAGAGAGTCAGACTGAGATGAGTCGTGCATAGTCACGTGGCAAGTCAGAAGCTGTCCAGCCCCCGGCAGGCTCGTGGCACGGCTGAGTCACTGGGTCACGCGTAGCCGCCGCAGCAGCAGCAGCCTCCGAGGCCGCAACTCAGTGGAGGTGTTAAGTGTAATCAGATGGCAACGTGGCGGCCTGGGCCGCCCCGGCAACGGTCCGATCACCGCGGTACATTGCCGAGTGATTAGCCTTCATCATCGGATCCGAGAGCCGACTACCGTAGTACACTTGCCAGTTGAAAGCCTCGGGGCCGGCGGCGCTTGCGGCGCCCGGGGGCGGGCCCAGCCTGGCCCAGTGGGCGGCCTCACCGTCTGCCAAGTTTACCGTAGGACCATATGATCAAAGTATCAGTACGTATCAGTCACCGTGGCACTCCGACCGTCTGAGTTGCTAATACCGTCATGATGGAGTCACAGCGAGTGAGTTCCCAGACGGTTGCAAGTCACGGTGAAGAGTCCAAGTTTAAGCTCATGATCTCGACTCAGTTCATACCACCATGAGTTGCCTCACACTGAGTGGCAGATAAAGTCACGTAGTACAGGGGATGTGAGAATGTCCCAAGTCAGCCTGTGTGCTTTCCTTAGGGGAGGGCGCAGTTGAGGTAGTGGGTCACGGTCCCAGGCCAATCCGAGAAGACCCCATAGACTCCCACCTCCTGAAGAGCACTCAGTCGGGGACGGGAGAGGTAGACAGCTAGGATGCACAAACCTTGAAGAGTACATCGAGAAGCAAGTAGATGTCCGCATCCTTCCTCACCGCACTCTGAACGTTCCCGTGCGTTCCCGTGCTGGCGTTCCCCTGTTGGACACCGAGGTACCACCCACTAGGAACGGCTCCCGACCTCTCCAGCGTCCACACGATGATCTCTATCCCTTGCTCCTTGAGGTACCTGCTCTTGGTCAGTACGGCGATCGCAAACACCCGCAGCAGGCGTACCTGACCGGCTCTGTGGGAGAGAAAGAGCCCCCAAGCGCGTCATTGGCCGATATGACCTCGTTGAGCGGAAGTCCGGCGAACTTGATGGGCTGACCCAGGCGCTGCAGCTCTTCAAACCATCCCTTGTACGTCGTCTCCCAGGTGTCTTTCCCGTTCTGCTCCTAACATGTAAGATGGAGCGAGATCGAGGAACTACCGAGAGTTCCACCTGCCCCCCGGGACTATACAACAGAACCGTGTTCTTTGCTATGGGATACTTGGACAGCCACCTACAGCAGATGAGCTGGAGGACGCTTGCTCAGAGTCAGCAGAGAACCTTGTCGCATGCTGCTTGCTGAAAGTCTGAGGGAACAGCAAAGAAGGTGGGACCCCAAGGTCAAGGTAGTCTTGGATGAAACGATCCGCCGCCTCATCTTGGGAGTCTGAAGAGTCTCTCACAACGGAAAGACGGCAGATGGCAGCTTTCACGTATGTCTATCTTGGAGTAGTCGTGCTCCTTCAGCTCCGGGATCATCTTGACCTTCATCTCCCTTCCCCTTGCCTGTCAGACTGCAACAACCAAGACACAAGACAAGACAGGTTCACATGGAGAGTTGGATGTATTCCTTCTGCGTCATCACAGTGGCACATCCTCCGTCCTGAGCGGCGATCACGAGGACAAGGTCGATTGGTGCCACACGCAGACCTGATAGAGAGTCGTCCGCCAGGAAGGGACGGACAGGTACTCGTCCACCGTACGGGCGCCGACGTTTGTCATCATCTAATTGGCGTCACAGAGCAGGCAGGAGCAGGCAGGAGCAGGCAGGAGCAGGCAGGAGCAGGCAGGGTCACCTCCATGGTCCCGCACAGCTGCTTGTACTCCGATGCAAGCAGATCGGTGGTGCAGCACCGCGCTCCCTCTCCGGGTTGGAACTGTCTCCCACCTTCAACAGCCGTCGGGGGTTTTGGAATGCCTCACCTTCTTGTCGCACTTGTCCGCGAGCGCCGGCACCCTCAGGATGTTGGTCGTATAGTGGAGGTCACAGGCCGAATGGCGACAGACAGCAACTCTGTCCCTTGTGAACACAGCATCGCACTCCAGCATCCCTGCTCGCACCGTCAACGACTGCCCCACGCCCCATGCCCAATCTCACCAGCACCCATCCTTACAGCGCTGGTGTATCCTTCAAGCGTGTGCTCTGGGAACATGAGAGGCGCGCCACGATGAGCGATCGAGCGCTCATCTCGCTTCATTGGGCTCAGGCACTTGTCCCATGTCAGTTTACTGCTCAGGCTCCTTAGCCTCCATAGTCGTCCCTGGTAGCTTTCTGACTGCAGCTCTGCTGCCGAGACTGAGGACTCGTCCAGAAGCCTGTCTGCAAGGTACCAGGCACGAGCTCCAACGTCTGCCCGGTGGTAGTTGAACACGTAGGCACGAAGCTTCCAGCCCAACAGGAAAGCAAGGGTGACCGACGAGGAGAAGAAAAGGAAGAGTGTGCAGAATGAGAGAGAGGTCCTCCTCGCGTCTCTCTTCTCCGGCATCGCTCGTTCCACGTCAACATCCTTCCAACCTACCTCTTCTGCTCCTCCCTCCTCCCTCGCCGCAGCCACCAGCGCCTCCAGTTCCCTGCCATGGTCTGTCGGCATGGAGACTGGGAGGGCAAGTGCGGGCCAACCCTCCTCTGGCTCTAATCAATTTACTAGTACAGCCGGGCCGGGCCTGATGACCGTACGGTACTGTACAGGCGGGGCCAACGGGGGCCTCCCAGTCCCGGTAGCCTAGTCACTCAACTATCTCCTGACTCAGTCAATTATTGATAAGTTGAGCGCGCCGCGGCGCGGCCTCGTCACACTGAGTACGATGCGGCCGGGTACTACGGTAACTTGTAATGGCACTGAGAGCCGCTGCGGCAGTGCCGGTGCCGCAGTGCCGCGCAGCCCCGGGCGGCGACTCAACGGGCCCGGCCGTGAACGCTATGAAGTCACTCACTGTGGTGGGCCAGCCGGAGTGCGGTGGCGGGCTGAGCCCGGGCCCGCCCGGCGGCGGTTTCAGCCAGTCTCACCGTTCAACGCACTCCGACAGCCGCTGAGCGGCAGTTCCACGGTGAACGGCGGGTACCGGCAGTGACGGTCCGACGGACGCCCGCGGCCCGGCCCCTCCGAGCTCGGACGGCCCCCCGTGACCCCCGGGCCCGCCGGTCTGGCCAGAAGGAGGAAGGAACTTCCTTCCCTTGAACTGATAATTTTGATCGACAATGGGGGTGGTACTACGATGGGGGTGGTACTACGATGGGGGTGGTACTACGACTCGGGGGGACGCTCGGAGGGCCGGAGGGAGGGTGGGTGGGTGACGGAACTACTGGGGTCATATTACAAGTGGGGGTGATCAGGGGGTTGTGGGCTACCGGCGGCTACCGGCGGCTACCGGGGGCTACCGGGGGTACCGGGGGCTACCGGGGGCTACCGGGGGGTACCGGGTGGGGTTCGGAACTCCGAGTGAACGGGTGAGAAGGGGTACTGAAGCAGTTGTCGGAGGAGGTCGAAGGGATCAGATGGGGCGATGGAGGAGGGAGCCTGGGGAGGGAGAGGAGGGAGAGAGGGCCGGGAAGGAGGAGGGAGTAGCAGGGAGACAACCACAACGTGGTACGAGAGAGAGGAAGCGCGAGTATGAGGATACGGAGAGAAAAGGGATAGAGAGAAAAAGAACGATGCTCTCTGGAGAAGGTGGAGTATCATCGACTCCGAGTTATTGTCAAAGAGTGAGGTTGGGGTGGTAGGAAGGAGTAATAAGGAAAGTGCGTGAAATGGCAGAAATGATTGTTTAGATATGAACTGAACCTGGCCATGGTAGCAAGGATGATGAATCAGAGAGCAAGAGCAGTTGAAGAAGGAGAGATAAAGGTCAAGAGATGGGGAGGGAAGGGAAGAGGAGGATAAGACAAGGAGGGAACCCAGTTTGAAGGCGAGAAAGAGGACAGCAGTGAAGGGAGGGGTGGAGGGGAGGGGAGGATGGCAGGACTAGTGAGGCAAGGCACCCATCTGAGGAACCAAGACAATGTAAATGACGCCAAGGGTAGACCTCGAACCTCAGAGATAGATGATCGCCAAGAGCGGATGTGACTTGAAGGCACGGAGGGCTGAAGGCCTTGTGAGGCATGCGGTCTTCAAGGAGTCTGACATGCGGCTGTTCAGCTTGCAGGATGCAGGGGCAAGCAGGAGTGAAGGTGCATGCGGGGATGATCCGAGACTATCAGTCGAGCAGCAAGAGGCGGCTGGACGAGATCAGGTGGCTGAGGAAGGACTGCAAGAAAGTCTCGATGCGGCTCGAGGCGAGGCGCAACTCTGACCCGAGCCTGGTGGACGAGAGGCCTGCAGAGAGGTCTCCCGTTGACATGGCGCAAGAGGGAGAGGGTGAGGATGCCGTCACACTGAGTTGCTGCTGTTGACTTGAAGGGGGCAGATGGGATGAGAGAGTTTGGAAGAGTCTACTCGGACGCCAGCGCTGAGAGCAAGAAGTCACATCTGGATGGTGAAAGTCTTTTCCTACCCCCCGGCAGTCGCTTGCTGACGATGAGTCGTAGTGGTCCTAGGAGACCTGAGGCACGAGATTGAGCACGAGCAGTTCTCGCGAAGGCTTCGGCTGTCCTCTGGTGAGAAGAGCTCCGAGCCCTGCAAGTGTGAACTCCTGACCTCCTGCCTGTCTCCCTCGCCGCAGCGGAGGGAAAGAACGCTATGCTGCTGAGAAAGAAGGTACTTCCTTCTGCGTCGAATTGTAGTTGATCCGACTGAACTGGCGTCAGAGCTCTACTGTGCTCCTCACGAGTAATCTGCTGGGTGAGAGCTGGGGGAAAGCGTTGTCCATAGTTTACACCTCAAATGTCCCTTGCAGCTTCCTTCAAGAGGAAGCAATCTAGCTCCCCTAAAGGTGAAAGGATGGAGGATGTGATGCGTTAGATGTGACAATGTACGGCAGGTGATCAGCTGAACGAAGACAATCAAGCAGGTGATTGTTCTTGCTCTTGCTCTTGCTCTTGCTCTTGCTCTTGCTCTTGCTCTTGCTCTTGCTCTTGCTCTTGCTCTTGCTCTTGCTCTTGCTCTTGCTCTTGCTCTTGCTCTTCCTGCATTTGCTTACCCTGCCGTCTTGCTCGCTCTCTCTGACTCTCTGCTGTCAGCTGCTGTCCAGCATGCGCATTCTCTTCCAGGTGAACCTGACTCGACCGTGTCGACTGCTCTTCATCCTCGCGGCTCCTCCTGAGCGGCTGTCGCAGCCATCGCTCGTCGGAGATCTTCCGTGGGGATGCATCTGAGCTCTTCCCACAGTCTCTACGACTTGAGCGACAGGTGGGGCATGAGCTGGAGGGTCGAGGCGCTGACTAGATGACACTCCTTCAGCTTCCAGCTCGTCAGGCCAACAGCTGGGATCCGCAAACGCGTTAGTGTGAGTTGAGAAGACTCTGGTGACCGTGACAGTCGCAAGTGACTCCTGGGCTCTACAGCTTGAAGAGTGCCCCTTCCTCCTGGACATCCGGTGCAAGGCTCACTCTCCTTCAACGTCACCAACGCCTCCTCACAAGCTGTAAGCTGCTGCCTTCCCCTCCCTCCCCTCCCTCCCTCCCTCCCTCCCTCCCCTCCCTCCCCCCCAGCTCCCTTCTTCCCTTCCTCCCAGTCTTCCTCCTCTCACGAGTGTCTTCTCTGCAGTCAGGCAGCGCAGGTCAAGCTGGCCAAGAGAGGTTTGTGACACCTTGAGGCCTCGAGGGCTGCAGCCTTGGTAACACGATGACAGCGTCAGGGATCGCCAAGTTCAACCCCGAGGAGAAGAAAGAGCAGGAGAGCTCGAGGTTAGCTCGCTCTCTCGCCAGGTGCCTCCTCTTCTCTTCCTCCCTGCAGCTCCTCTGACACTTCACAGTATGGTCAACCGAGCAAATGTTCGCACGCCTCTTCCTGTGGAGGAGGCAGAGAAGGAAGAGGATGTGGCAACGTCTGCCAAAGGGAATCAAGTGGAGGAGGCGAAGATCGACTTGTGGGCTGATGCAGACAGCGACAGCGACAGCGACAGCGACAGAGACCGAGATACCAGAGCAGCATGAGGTCAAGCGACGAGCAGCTTCACATAACTCACTTCATTCACGTGACATCCGTTATTGATTATCTTTAGGCTTATCTTTAGGCTTATCTTTAGGCTTATCTTCAGGCTTGTTCGTATCATTGTCATTAAGGGATCCACTCTCATCCGCGTCCCTTGAGTCTCGTCCAGAGGCGCCGGCAGCATCGCATCAGCTTCTCGTCAGTTTCTTGATCTCGTCCGACAGCAGCCTCTCCATCCTCTTCCTTGGCGAGTCAGTGAAGTTGCCCATCGTACAGCGATCGAAGACCTCCCGGAACTCGGAGGTGTCGATCTCTGCTCCTCTCCTCCCCTTCTTCGTCCCCGGGAGCGCCTTGGGCTTCCTCCTCCCCGAGCTCTTGAGCTGGTCTACAGCGCTGCTGGGACGCAGCGGGAGGAGGTTGGGGACATGGCGGAAGGAGCGGAGCTTCGGGTCGAACTTGGAGAGGATCGCGTTAGCCCCAACGTTGAGGGCGACGAGGGAGGAGTTCTTGTCCACCGCCTGGAACAGCGCGACTGACCCTGACACCTCCCCGAGGCTCCCCAGGATCGCTCCTCGGCTCTTGTCCCTGGGTCCGGTGGGCTGCAGCTGGAGAGAGGTGAGGGAGGTGGTCTTTACGAGCGCCTTGGAGATGCGGACCAGGCCCTCGTCCTCGATGAGGTTGTCACCCAAGTCCAGCTGGGAGAGGGTCGAGTTGTGCTCGAGAGCCCTGGCGAGCTCGCAGGCCCCGACCGTTGTGATGGCGTTGCCGTAGAGGCTGAGGGTCTTGAGGCTGCACCTCGACCGGAGGACTGCGGAGAGCGCCTTGGCTCCTTCGGGGCCTGCTGGGCAGTGAGAACGAGAAGAGGGGGAGGAGGAGGGCAGGGAAGCCAAGGGATGCGGGCAGGAGAGGAGCCAGAGGAGACGAGGGCGCAGGACGAGGAGGAAGAAGAAGAGGAGATGATGAGAGGAGCGGGGTGGTTCACCGATGTTGTTCTCTCGCAGGTCGAGCGAGGTGACCTTGGTGTTCACGCCCAGCGACTGGGCGAGGAGGGAAGCGACTTCCTGGTCGAGTCCGAGTTTCCTCAAGGAGACTTTTCTTACCGTCCTGTTGTTGGCGATGAAGGCGCAGAGCTCGACTGCATGATGGAAGCTCAGCCGCAGGCTCTCCAGCTCCACCCCCTGGACTCTCGCATCGGGGACGATCATGCACAGTTGCATTGGCCTCGTCATCGGGGGCCTGCGATCGGGAGGAACGACAGTCCCGTCCATGTCGTCTGTGTTCCACACCAGCATGGAGGGCAGCATCAATTTACCCCCCTTCCTCGTCCTCCTGCAGTCCACGCAGAAGCTCGACTCGTCCACGTGCCTTCTCCATTGCTCCGGCAGCAGGTGTGGACCCTCCAACCACCTCCCGTCCTTGTACTTCTGCTCGCGCAGGGCGGAGATGACCGTCTTGCACAGCAGCTGCACGGTGGGGAGGGCACAGTAGCTGTTCGTCTTGGAGTAGCATCGCTCCACCCGCATCGTCCTATCCGTTGCGTCCTTGGGCAGATGAAGGATGCTGATCTCAAACGAGCCCGGAGGGCCCGGGCACTTGACCACTGTCGCGCTGACAGGCAGTCGCTGGCAGGACAGACATCGGAGGAGGTCGAGGAAGAGACAGGAGTCCGGCGACCCCCTCGCGCTCTCCTCGAGCTCTACGACGATGCAACACTTGACACCAGTGAGGGGAGGGGCTCCTGGCTCGTACTCGGCCTCCTCCTCCTTGCTGTCTCCCTTTGCGTCGTCTAAGAAACTTTCCCACTTGTCCCCGTACGCGAGCTGGAGAGACTTGATGAAGAGCTGCTTCCTGTTCCTCCTCAGCACAGACTTTAGGAAGCGGTGAGGGACTATGGAGTCCAGCTTGACGACCATGCTCGGGTGGGTGAAGGGGGTACTGCGCTTCTCCCTGATCCACTTCTCTATCGCCTTTTTCTCGTACGTCCGCCCGTCCGCCGTGCAGAGCACGGGATCGTCGAAGACCCTGTTGGTGATGGGGCATACCAGTGCGCTCTGGAACTCTTGGGGGTCCTCGAACGATGGCGAGGACGAGTGCGGGGCTGTCTGAGGGCGGGGGGCTACCGTCATCCCTCCTCCCTCCCTCGTCCTCCGGGCTCGCTCCCGGGGAGCTCCACCGGCGTTGCTCGGGCCCTCTCTGTTCCTGCTCCTGCTTCTGCTCCTGCTCCGACTGCTCCGACTGCTCCGACTGCTCCGACTGCTCAGGCTGATCGGACTACCGTACCGTCCGGGACGGTCGTCGGCGAGTCCCGGCGACTGCTCCGACTTCTGGGCTGCTCCTCAAGCTCTCGTGCTCCTGTGACTCCTGCTCATGCTCCTGTGACTCCTGCTCATGCTCCTTCTCCTGTTCCTTCTCCTTCTCCTGCTCCTTCTCCTGCTCCTGCTCCCGGCGCCTTCATCTCCGGCGATTCGCCGATGCCATGGCTTGTCGACGAGCAGATGGTCAAATCCGACCAACTGCCGTCCTAGCGGCCAGATCGATTCAAACCGAATCTTGATTGATTTGAATCAAATAAATTCAAATTTACCTGGTGCGGGGCCCGGACAGTCATGGCACTTGATTGGGTTTGGAAGTCGCAGGGATATTGAACTTTTTTCAAATGTTAGAAGTAAATTTGAATATCTACTGGTATATTTGAGCCCATCGGACTGAACCGACCGATCACCATGTCACGGTCCTCTTTCCTGTTGAAATCGAAAATATTCTATTTCGATTTTACTACTCACATTTTGTGTCTAAAATAATTGTATATGCTACTGACTGGAGGAGCTCCCCTACCTCCCCTCGAACTAACCACCCACATATACCAGATACTACCCCCACATCTCCTATCAAAGTACCCCTCTTCACTAGAACCCCCTTCAAATATCTGGGTGTTCGGATGACCATCCTAGGGGGTAGGGTCAACATGGCATACAAAACTAGTGGTGGGGGTACATTGTTATAAGGGATATAACAAATTGCTAGAAAAACATACATTATACATAAACATTTCCTCTAGTACCCTTAAATCTAGTGGATACAAGGGGGTGGGGGTGGTCAGTTTCCTCCGCCCTTTATAGTTATTATCCCTATCCCGCCATCTTCAGAACCGGTTTGAGTGGGGGCGATAAGGTATTCTCAGGAAGGGGGTGGTCTAGAGTGCTTAATGGAAATGGAGGGGTCAAATTCTCATATAAAAGTGGGGTGATGAAAGTATTTGGGGGTAGGGGTGGTCGCAGAAGGTCGTAAGGGAGGATGCGGGTTCCATTTGGAACTCTTGAGGAGCCGGAGTCAAGATAAGGGTGGTGTCGGATGTAGGGGGTGGTGTGGCAGTCATATAGAGGGGTATTTTCCAATTAATATTGGGTGAAAAGGGGGGTAGGGATAAATTTTCCCTCGATTTGGGGTGGGTGAATTGCGATATGTCTGAGGGAGGTAGGGTGGTCTGAATAAACCAACATGGTTTGCTCCATGAAGAAATGAAAGGAGGTCGTGCGATGGAACAGAATGTGAGAATGGCGCAGTGAAAATGGTGACAGCAGGGCAGGGCAGGGCAGGGCAGGGCATGGCATGGCAGGGCAGGGCAGGGCAGGGCAGGGCAGGGCAGGGCAGGGCAGGGCAGGGCAGGGCAGGGCAGGGCAGGGCAGGGCAGGGCAGGGCAGAAAGACATCGTGGCATGTATAGTATTGAGAACCGGAGAGAGAAGATTGGACGAAGACGTGTCGAAGTGGTTAAGCTGCATGCGTGAGAGATGCTGTGGGAGGGGGGAATGTGAGAGTGAGAAAATGGCGGTGTTAATCGCTGGTGTCTGCATGCTCCCCTCGAATTATGATAGGCATTTTAGAGCGTGACAAGCTTGTTGTTGCTGGTTATGGAACAAAGAGAACAGTTGAAGTGTTCCCCTACTGACCTCCTCTTAGATGACTTGGTGTCTTTGCTGAGCTGTCCAGTACAACCTACAAATCTCGGGCTCAGAAATCCGTTGCCGTGGTTTTCAACATGAGCATGGACTGTGATTTCAAGAAGAGCATGGCAAGCTGCCAACTTTTCGAGGCGATGGGTCCGAGCAACAGGAGCGTGGCTATCTCCGGGATGGTTTTGAGAACTTTCGAGTCAGGGGAGACGATTTTGGAGGAGGGAACAATTGGGACGTCCATGGTAAGGCAACGAGCTGCTGTTGGTGGTTCGTCTGACACGTCTTGCAGTATTTCTTGGATGTAGGAGCAGCGCGGGTCATCAAGAAAGGATTGCACGTCAACGATCTATATGCTGGTGATTTCTTTGGGGAAGGGTCGTTTATTGCTACGGTGGCCACTTTCAAAAACCAAACCAAGCACTTCCCTGCGAATGTACTGAACAGGAAGCGGACTGCCTCTATTATCGCATCAGAAGCCTGCCGATGCCTTGAATTGAGCGTGAAACATTTCCTGACCTGCTTTTCTGACGATGATGTCAGCTTGCAGGCGGTGCTAAGGTACTTGTTGTGAACTCCCTCAAGTTTCTCTTGATTGCTTCCTGCAGAATCCTTGCAAACAGCACTCAGGTTCGAAATGCCGATACAAAATCCATTGACACCGTTGTGGGCGAGGGGAGCAAGAACTCCCCTCGTCGAGGACACGAGGACGACAACGCTCTGACGGCGTTGAAGAAATCGAACTCGGGAAGGGACATAACGATTGGAAGCTCGACGGTTCAAAGTTTGGTTTCACCCAAGGGAGCATTCATGAGAGGGAAGAAGGGTCCACTGCTGGACTTTGCTGAGATGAACAAGCAGCTAGAAACAGAAGATCGCTCAGGGAGTGAGACAGAGGCGAATGAGGACTTCTGCAGGACTTACGCGAGTTGCGGTTCCAACTGCGAACTTTTCGACATCATGGTGGATAAAAGCAGGATGGCATGCTTCTCTCGGATGAGCCTGAGGCAGTATGAAGCTGGAAAGATGATCGTCAAGAAGGGGGAGGTCGGGACAACCTTGTTCTTCATCGAAACTGGTCAGGCTCTTGTGATGGCCGACGGCCAGACTGTCAGTCGGTTGAAGGATGGCGATTTCTTTGGTGAGATGGCGTTTGTCGCAACATGCCGCAAATTCATACACCTTGATGACTCTCCAAGTGGAACTGATGACAACCAGCTGCGAACGTGCGATGTGGTAGCGGATGTTCATTGCACCTGCTGGGAGCTGAGTGCGTTCGACTTCCTGTCGGTTGTCAAGGAGGACCTTGCTGGCAATCGAGACGTGCTGAAGATGCTCTCCAAGACAGCGAACAAGCGAAGAGCTGGGTTGGACTCGATCATGGAGGTAAGGAAGAAGTACTATGACTCGCAAGGTCTCGACTCAGAGCACAGCGCTGCGTGCACCCCTCCGTCCAGTCCAACAGTCTGCGACGAATCACAGATTGAGTATGGGAGGATCATGGAGCTGATCCCGAAGCGGCTGGGGTTTGTGATTCACCGAGATGAAGGGCAAACAAAGCTTGAGATCATGAACAATCGCCACATCTTCTTCTTCTCGAGCACCCACCATGAATCCTACCTGCCCTTCTGCTCAGACTTCGGGCCTGTCAACCTGTCCGAAGTTCACCAGTTTTGCTCTTACATTCATCAGAAGCTGTCGGATCAACGGCTCTACAATCGCACTCTGGTCTACTACGCAGAGAAGGACGCAGCTCTGCGAACTAACGCTGCTTTCTTGCTCGGAGCGTTCCTGGTCATCACGCAGGGCTGGTCGCCAGAGGAGGCGAGCGCTGCCTTCTCCGACATGGGATACAAACTCTTCATGCCCTTCCGTGACGCCACGTACGAGCAGCCTGACTTCGGCCTGTCGCTCCTCGACTGCTTTAGGGGGCTCAAGTGCGCGCTGCAGGTGGGCTGGTTCGACTACCGCAGCTTCGACGTCAACCGGTACCTCTGGCTCGACAACCCCGCCAACTTCGACGTTCACCAGATCTGCCCGAAGCTGATTGCCTTCAGAGGGCCCAACGACAGCGACGAGAACATGCGGACGCCGGGGGAGTACGTCATGGTCTTCAAGAAGCTCAAAGTCTCGGCCGTCGTGCGCCTTAACGAGCAAGACACTTACGACGCGCGAGGGTTCGAGGAGGCAGGGATACGACACTACGACCTTTTCTTCGAGGACTGCACGACTCCCTCCTTCAAGCTCGTCGAGCGCTTCCTGGCGATCTGCGACCATGAACCTGGTGTGGTTGCCGTTCACTGCCTGGCAGGGCTCGGGAGGACCGGGACGATGATCGCTCTGTGGATCATGTTCAACTTTGGCTGGACCGCAAGGGATACGATGGCATGGCTAAGGATCGTGAGGCCTGGGAGCATCATCGGGCCTCAGCAACAGTACTTGATCGCGTGCGAGGAATGTTTGCGGCAGGGGAAGCGACTGCCGGAGTACAAGGAGAGTCAGGGCAAGTCCAACTCAGAAGCTCTTGCGAACCAAGTTCAGTTTGGGATGTTGCAGAGGCAGGCGGCGAGTGGATAGCGAAGAGGGGGAGGGGGAGTCAAGGATAATGACTGGGCTAATAAGGAGGGAACGTAAGAAATCTGCTAGTAATGTCGTTGAATGTTTGGCTTTGTGAAATCTCTTCAAGAAATTCTAAATAGTCATGGCATAGTCTCTTCTTCCGAAAGGCATCAACCTCTCCCCTAGGTTCCTCCTCCTCCTCCTCCTCCTCCTCCTCCTCCTCCTCCTCCTCCTCCTCCTCCTCCTCCTCCTCCTCCTCCTCGCGGTCAGCTGTCCAGTTGATCACCGGAAGGGCCAGGGCTCGTGCTTGGGAGGGTCCATGGTGGCCCACTCCATGAGCTGCAGGTAAAGTCAGTTGCCTTTACCAGCGAAGATGGGGGGAGAGGAGGAGGAGGAAAGGCAGGCATTCAGTGAGGGAGTGAGGGTGGGTGGGTGGGTACCTGGATGTACTTCTTGGCGCTTGCGATCCAGCTGAAGTCTTGCTCCATGCATCGTTTTCTCAGGTTGTCCCAGACCTCCGGCTTCTTCTTGTAGATCTCTAGAGCATTCCAAAGACCCCACTGCCACCTTGAATGAGATCCATCTCCCTCCTCCTCCTCCTCCTAATCCTCCTCCTCCTCCCCCTCCCTCCTCCCTCCCTCCCTCCCCCTCCTCCTTCCCTCCCTCCTCCTCCAACCTCTCCCTCCTTCTCCCTCTTCTCCCTCCCTCCCTCTTCCTCCTTCTCCTCTCCTTCCCTCTCCTCCACTGCTTTACCTTCAGGCCATTGGCGTCGCAGTTCCCAAACTTCCACCCCGTCCCCACCGTCTCTCCTCCTTCCCGCCACTCGAACTGCTGAACCGAATCTTTGAGCCCTCCTGTAGCATGCACCACGGGTATCGTCCCGTACCGCTGCGCGTACATCTGCGGGAGGCCGCAGGGCTCATACCGGGAGGGCATGATGAGGATGTCAGCTCCAGCGATAATCCTCTGCTCCATCTCCGAGCTGAAACCCACGTACCCACAGATCCTTCCCTTGTACTGTCCTTCCGCCGCCCTCATGAAGTTTGCGTACTCCGCCTGCCCATTCCCCATCATGATGAGTTGCGCGTCTCCGAGGACTCCCTGGTCGTCTCCTCCCATGAGCCAGTGAAAGCACTCTTGCAGCACGTCGATGCCCTTCTGCGGAGCTGGGGGTGCGGTCAGAGCGAGGAGGGAGAGGAGGGGAGAGGAGGAGGAGACGAGGGAGGAGGAAGAGGAGAGAGAGAGGGGGAGGACGGAAGGAGGAGGGAGGAGGGAGGAGGGAGGAGGGAGGAGGGAGGAGGGAGGAGGGAGGAGGGAGGAGGGAGGAGGGAGGAGGGAGGAGGGAGGAGGGAGGAGGGAGGAGGGAGCATGAGAGGACCAATGCGGGGATGAAACAAGAGGAGAGATTAAAACTAAAGGGAAGGAGAACGAGACGGCGGAGGAAGCATGCTAGTCTAGGCTTAGACTCTATGCTTTCCTGCTCCTGCTCTTCCTTCCTCCTCTTCCCTTCTCCCGACTCCCCTCCCTCCCTCCTCCTCCTCTGTTCTCACCTAGACGTCCAATGAAGGCGATGATGGGAGCGTTGGGGTTCTTCTGCAGGCCGAGAGCCTCCTGCAGCTTCTCCTTGCAGATCGCCTTGCCTGATAAGTCGCTCTTGCTGAATTGAGCAGGAAGAGCCTTGCTGGTCTCCGGGTCCCACTCCTCCGTGTCGATGCCGTTCAAGATACCTGGGGGAGCAGCTGAATCAGGAAAACACCTGAAGTCTTGCTCCCCTCTCTCTGTTCCTCACTCGCTCGCTCTCTGTCTCTCTGTCTCTGTCTCTCTCTCTCACTGCCTACGATCCTCTCTCACTCGCTGACTCTTTTCATCTCAACATTTCCTCCAACATCAGCACCACCACGTCTTCCTCCCCTGCTTCCCCTCTCTTTCCTCCCCTCTCCTCCTCCTCGCCTACCGTCCAGTCGGTCGCTGCGCGCGCGCACATTATGCTGAAGGCCCCATCCTCCTCCATCCGTCATGATCTCCTCCTTGTAGGACGGGGAGACCGTCACGACTCGATCCGCCATGTTGATCCCTCCCAGCAGCAACTTCGCGCATTCTCCGTCGTCCACAACGCCTCCGTCTCCTCGCTCCTGCGGTGGGAATACCCACTTGTAGTTGTCGTAATAGGAGTTGTCCGCTAGACCTGAAGCCTTGTTACCCTCCTCCTCCTCCTCCTCCTCATCTTTCTCCATCCTCCTCCTCCTCGTCCTCCCTTCACCTCCTCTTCCTCCTTCCTTCCTTCCTTCATCTTTTCCTCCTCCTCCTCCTCCTCCTCTTTTTTCCCTCTTCCCTCGTCCTCTTCCTTTCCCTGCCCATCAACCAGTACAACTACCACCAAAAACATCTCCTCCTCCTCCCCTTCACACTTTCGCTTCTTCTCCCTCCTCCTCCCTCCTCTCGCTCACACCCCCCGCGTCGCTTCTCGTTTACCGATGTCGCAGAACGACCACTTGGGAGTCTCTCGTGGATCCGGAAGATCATAGTTGTACATCTGTTCTATCATAAGAGCCTTCCCTCCCTCCCTCCCTCCCTCCCTACTTCTCTTCCTCCCTCCCTCCCTCCCTCCCTGGGTCCTTCCTCTTTTTTTTGGGGGGAGGGGGTTTTTTTTTTTT